CCTGAGACCTCACATTTATCAGCAGGAGTTCTATGACTGTGCTGTGCTCTCAGCCTTATTCTTTCTATTTTGAGATTGTGATTTCACTTAATAACTCAAACTGGTCTTTAATTCACTCTATCACACAAGGTGAACTTGAACTTTGATCCTCTTGCCTCAGCCTATTGAGTGATGGGCCTGTGCCAGCAGCTGCTCGTTCTTTGTCACAGGAGGCTCTTCTGTGCCTTTTAAGATATTTATCGGTGTCCTTGACCATCCCATGACCAGTAACTACAAGTGTCTTTCTGAACACAAGTGACCACTAAAAATGTCACCAGACATTACTAGATGGGACGTGCCTATCTTCCTTTGGTACCACCATCTCCTAGAGTGCAGTGAGGATGGACTGGGGTGTGGGTTAGAGGGGATCCCCACTTGCCTACTGCCTCACCCTTGTGCAGGCAGCCTCGTGACTACATTGCGTCTTTACCTCCGCCCTTCTTCCAGCCCTTCGGCTCGTCCTTCAGTGTGAGCAGGGTTGTTGTAAGGGAACTGTGTTAGGAAGGAGAAGTGCACGGCCTGAAGTTCTGTTCTCATGGTCTGGAATCGTTCCATGCCTGCTGATGGGCTTCCGGGATCCAGGCCCTTGGCCTCTGCTGTCTACTTCCCTCTGAACCCACATCCCTGAAGACAGTGGATCCCAGGGTCTTGTAGACCACTCCTTGTTTAGATATTGAACCAGAAACCAGCTGAGCTGAGATGTCCTTGATGACTTTCTCTATGACCTTGCCACTCAGCCCCTTCCCTAGAGGCTGCTACAAGCGTGTTCCTGTCTGCCTTCGGGTCTTTGAACTTGAAGTGACTTGAAGCAGGGCATATTGGAATGCACTTGGCTGGCAGAGCTGTTTGTCAGATTCCCTGATTCTCCTGGGAACTGGCTGCATCCCACAGAAAAAGGGCTGAGGTAAAGCTGCAGGATGGACAAAGATCTCTGGAGGAAGAAGCCTGGGACTGGCAAGCTCAGGGTCCCAAAAGGAAGTTGAGGGCAGGAGACAGAAAAGGAAAAGGAACAATGGCATCTGACATTGTCAGTATTACCCTGTTGTGGAGGCTGCAGGACCTAGAAGGCAGGCCCACTGCATATTAAAGGGGTCCCCTGCCCACCTGAGCAGGGGACCCCAGAAGAGGCTGGGAAGCGCAGGCCTGGGGAAGGAAGGTTTTCTGGCAGGCAGTGTTCTGGGCTCCGACTCTCCTCACCCCGAAAATCTTTGTTCTAAAGCCCTCCAGATAACTGGATGTGGAAGGTCATCATTGCTGGTGTGGTAGTGGCCATCCTGCTACTGCTTGGACTTGTGGTCCTTGTCATCCTGTACCTCAGGAAGGCTCGACGAAGAGCCCAGAAAGGTGAGCCTGTGTTGTTTTCCCATCAGGGAAACTGACCTGAAAGGCCAGGTGTCCAAGTGGCTTCCTTCTCCTTCACAAGGCACAGGCCTGGTGGCCCGGCTCAAAGGGGGCGAGGGGTGGAGGGTAAGGGGTGGGGGCAGGGCCAGTTCCACTCAGCTTTCAGTCTGGCTTACCTACTGAACCCCAACCCCCCACTTATTTGCTAGGATTTTGCATCATTTACTCTTTTCATCTTATTTTTTAATTATTTATTTCATGTGTATGGGTGCTTTGCTTGCACGCATTTCTAGGCACCGTGTGTGTGCCTGGTATCAGATCGCCTGGAACTAGAGTTATTGAGAGTTTGAGCTGTTGTGTGGGTGCTGGGAATCAAACCTGGGTTATCTTGAAGAGCGGCCAGTGCTCTTAAGTACTGAGCCACCTTTCCAGCCCTTCCTTTTTTCAACTTTATGATTAGGGACTTGTTAAGTCTCTATAAAGGACTCTCTGGCTGATGATACTGAAATGCATGTTGCTACAATTTAAAAATTTTGTTTTTCTCAGTATGAGGGAGGAAGTACAGAAAGATATGTAGGCAAAAAAAATACAAAGTAGCAACTATGTAGAATGAACGAGTCAAAGGATTTAATGTACAACATGAAGACTATGGGTAAGAACAGTACATCATGCCCTATATTTTCACCAAGTGAGCGGCTTGTAACTGCTCTTGCCACAGGAGGGGTATGGGTGCACTGGTAGGTTTTTAACTGTCAGCTTGACACATCTAGAATCACCTGGGAAGAGAATCTTAATGAAGAATTCTCTAGATCAGGTTAGTCTATGAGCCCGTCTGCAGCGGAGGGGAATTATCATGATGTTAGTCAATGTGGTAAACCCAGCCCATGTAGGCAGAACCATTCCCTAGTCAGGGGGTTGTGAACAGTATAAGAGGAAAATGTTAGCTGAGAGCAAGCAAGCAGGATGTGTTTATTCTCTTCTCTTGACTGTGGGTGTGGGGTGTCTGGCTGCTTGAGTTCTTCCCGAAATGATGGCCGGTAACTTGTAATCGCCAGCGAATGTCCCTTCCCTCTCCTGTGCTGCTTTTTTATTGGGATGTCTGCAACGGCAACAGGAATAAAACCAGACCAATCCATCAATCTACATCAGTAACCATTTTGTGATATATGTTCAACACCATATCATATGTAATGTACATCATAGATACACGTTTCAAAGGATACACAGTAATTTTTCTCCCTTTGTGGTACTAAGGACGGGACCGAGGCCCAAAGCATGTTAAACACACACTCTACCACTGAACTACCCTCAGCTCCCACAGTAAAAACTGAGGGATGGGGATACGGTTCAGCTGGCAAAGTGCTTGATGTGTAACAGGAGGACCGGAATCCACTATCCAGCAGCTGTGTAGACACGGGAGCACACTTGTAATCCTAGCATCGGGTAGGCAGAGACAGGTTCATTGGCTTCACGGAATCAGCATGTCCCAGGTCCCAGTGAGAGCCTCTGTCTCAAAAAAAAACAATGTGGACAGCTCCTGAGGAACACCACTCAAGGCTGTCCTCTGGCTTCTATACACATATGCACACACATACGCACATGCCCATGAATATGCACCCCCTCACACTTACATACTTACACACACCCAAAGTGAATGTGCTACAAAGGGAAAAATTGTTTTCCTTCAGGTCTTTATTATTACTATTATTATTAAGGTTTTTTGAGACAGGGTTTCTCTATGTAACCCTAGCTGTCCTGGAACTCACTGTGTAGAGCAGGCTGGCCTTGAACTCAGAGATCTACCCACCTCTGCCTCCCGACTGCTGGGATTAAAAGTGTGTGCCACCACCACCCAGCTTCCTTTAGGTTCTTGAAGGACGTTTTACTCTTCAAAGTTTTGAGTTTTTAGCAGAAATCCCGCATGAGCACTGTGGCCTTCAGCTGACTTCTGCATCCTTTCTTGCTGTTTTGTCCTGTGTGCCCTGTCTATTTATTCTCCACAGGCCTTCCAGATATTTCTGGGGACAACAAGGTTAAATGCATGAGTGGGTCAGAAGGCTCCACTTGTGAATATCATTTTTTCAAGCTCTGAAAAAAATCCTTACAGAGGAGAGAATTTCAAAATTCTATCTGCTTATTTTCCAAATGTTATGTAATCATTTTAGTGGGTCACTGTGACATTTTCAGAAAACAGCATAGGAATGATAAAATGCCCAGACTCTGGACACATATTCCGAGTTTTTATTTAGGAGTATGTATGAGTGTGCACACAGGGGTGAGTGTGGGAGAGTGTGTTCATAGGAAATACTTCACACTAAGGGCTTTTGACACAAGGGACTAGAAAGCCAACATCTTACCACACATAACTCCACCAGTGAACGGATTGTACTTAATCTGATGTTTAAATATGGAACTACAGCGAGTGACCTGAAATTGACCGTGAAGTTGAATGGGTTTATGCAGAACAGACACAGGCAGCCAGGCTCTCAGGCTTTCTGACTCCTTGGGCATTACTCAGTGCTGGGTGCGTGGGAGCTCCCTAGGCAGAAACTACCTTTGGCCAAGCCCTGGCCTCTCCTCCATCAGGGCCCCAGCCTGTTGTTGCCATGGGAAGTGGGGAGGTGGTACATGGGAAGTCTCTCCACTAACTTCCTGGTTTCCTCACAGCTGAGAACGAATGTCACCATATTTATGAAGACTTTCCAGGCCAGCAGGAGGAAACCACTATAAGTAGGAAGGACTCCTCTCTGGGACCTAAGGTACCCTAGCTGTCTGGTGCACATCTGTCGTTGTGAACTCTGCTCTGCGTTCAGTTTCTATTGACTCTCAGTGGTGGTGCACACTCATGATCGCTCACATCCTCATGACCTACTTCCGTGTTTCCTTTTTGTGTATTTCTTTTCCTTGTGTTCCCGAACTCAAACTAGAGAGACAGGCAGGCAGGCAGGAAGGCAGGCAGAAACAAAGAGAGAGACAGGGAAAAGATGGGGGGAGGGGGGGCAGGTAGAACCAGCTCTGGCCATCACCTCTATGGGAGATAGCTCTTCCTGTGTCTTAGGTCCCTAGCCAGCCTACAGACTATTTACCATTGGTCCAGTCAGTATAGGAACACTTAGTTCTCCTAAGGACTAAATGGTTTGGGTAGTTTTGTCTCACCTGCAGACCCAAGACTCCTGGCACTAAAGACCCACAGAATTAGAAGGCTCCAGCCCCCCATATAATGCTAGAATTGGTTTCATGAAATGCGTCTCTAATGAGTCCCCTTTAACTCCACCCTATTCCAGCTTGAATGTGCATAAGATTCACTTGGAGAACTTAAAAGTTTCTTGAAGGGTATGGTGGTGCAGGCTGGTATTTCTAGCACCTAAGAGGCTGAGGCAGGATGGTCTCCAATTTCAAGCCAGCCTGGGCAACATAATGAGACCTGGTCTCACAAACACAAGGCCTGGGGGCTGTAGCTCAGTGATAGTCTTCGCCATGCCTATGTAAGACCCTGTGTTCCATCCCCAACATTGAAAAATATACAAAGTCATGGTTTCTTAGGCCCCCTCCCAGGGTCTTTGCTTCCACAGATTTGGAGTGAAGCCTGATTCCAGTTTGGAACAGGAACCTGGGGAGGCCAGTGCTTCTCAGCACAGTGGCAGGAAAGACAACTTTCCAGCCACCCCTTCCCAGAGGCCCTGCAGACTCAATGCCACATCCCATATCTTTGTAAAGAAAAGGCTTATTTATTTTTATTTTATGTTTATGAGTGTTTTGCCTACATGTATGTATGTGATGGGTATGCAGTGCCTGAGATGGTCAGAAAAGGGAGTCAGATCCCCTGAGACTGGAGTAAATAGACAGTGTGAGCTGCCATGTGGGTGCTGGGAATTGAACCCAGGCCTTCTGGAAGAGCAGCCAGTGCTCTCAACTATCTCCCATCTCTCCAGCCCGTGTTCTGCATCTTAAACTCCGAGCCTGTCCCTCTGCCCTGCTCTGGTTTCTCACAGGCCGCCGGCCACCTCACTGCTGTTCTTTCCACAGACATCTGTTTCCTTTGATTCTCAGGCCTTCAGTCAGCAGACCCTCTCCAGTGAGGACGCTGAGATCATCTGCTATGCCTCCCTCATCCACCTCAACCACGTGAGCCCTCAGGACTCTGTCTCTAGCAACACCCAGCCCTACCCGAAGCCCTCGCCTGACCCCCTTCTGTCTGTGGAATATGCTAGCATCTCTAGAAACAGACTCCAGTCTTCCACGGCTCCCCAAGAGGTGGAGACCAGGAACTGAGGCTGAGCGCACAGGGCAGAGCATGTAGGCATAAAGGCACGTCCCAGCAGAGGAGGAACTTCCTACAGCATAGATGGTCTCAGAATTTTGGGGCCACACTTTCTTCAAGGAAGATGACCCAAAACACAGTGGAGAGGGCCTGTGGACCCCTGGTCTCTCCCCTCTGGAGGCCAGTGCCGCTGGGACGGTCTACGTGGACAGAGACCTGGGCAGGTGCCTCTCGATGACTTGCCTCCCTTCCTGTGGTGACCACCACTTCCTTCCCCATTGGCTCTTGAAACCCAGGAAGATTGTGCAAGTTCCCCCAGGAACTCCGAGTCAGCGGGGACATCTGCCCAAGCCCCAGCTCCTCCCCACACCAGCCTGTTTCTAAAACCATCCTGCTCGGGAACTCTGGTGACCCTGCCAGGAAGAATGCTAAGATGCGGCCAGCGCCCGTCAGTGATCTGTCTTCTGAGGCATTTCCAACCACAGCGGAACCAGGGAGCTTCCTTACCACAGCCAGCCGCACGTCTCTGTCAGAGTGCATCCCGGCTCCTCTGCCTTCTGGAGGACTGCCATTCTCTCCGCTAACGGTGTCTACCCCTTCTGTGCCACGTCCACCTTCCAGGACCCCAGCACGGAAGATTGGCCTCTGTCCGCAGTCTCCATGCGGACAGACTGCTCACTGGCGCTCAGACTGAGGGAGGCAGGTTCAGGGAAGGAATGGGATGCTGTGAGTGTGGCCCTGCTCTTGGGGACCCTG